TACATCCGCCAAGCACCACAATTCGCCTACGTCAGCAATCGCAGCACCACAGACGCGATAAGCCGTGTATGCAGCCACCTGCATGAAGCACGAACCTTGGCTGCAACCGCTGTCCCCAAAAGGCACCAGCGCCACTCTGGCGTAACCCCCTGCCAACTCGCCGGGGGTCTCTCGCTCAGCCTGGACGTTGACAAAGCTTTTGACTCGCTGCCAAGAGAACAGCTTGTGACCTCAATGCAGGCAGCTGGCCTGACGTCAGAAGAGGTAGCGCTTGCGCTTCACATCCACGACCAGGCCAAGCTCACTTTTGAGCTGGCAGGGCACAAAGACGAGGTCGAGCTCTCACAGGGCATCCGTCAAGGCTGCGGTCTTTCGCCCCTCTTGTGGTCTATGGCAACCACAAAGCTCTACCTAAAGTTCAAAGAAACAATCACCCAAAAGAAGGAGATATTGGGAGAGCCCACCCTCTATGCCGATGATATCTGGTCCTCCTGGACCATAAGGACACAGGAACAATTCCGTTCCAGTCTGCGCGCGGCAGGCATACTGATCCAGCTCCTCCACGAAGCAGGCCTCCGAGTGTCGCCCACGAAAACTGTCTTCCTGCTCAATCTCCAAGGTACTGCGGCAAGGAGCACTCTTCGCCCCAGACTCGCCAAGCTGGAAACAGGCGAACCCGCAATAAAGCTTCGCGTAGGCCAAACTACTATGCTCATCAAGATAGTAGACGCCCATACCTACCTTGGAGCCAGAGTTGCCTACCAGAACCACGAAGCTCTCAACCTGCAGCACCGACTGCACCTTGGATGGCAGGCCTACTGGCGACTGGCCAAGGTCCTCCGCTGTCGAGCGCTGACCTTAGACAGCAAAATCCGCGTCTGGAAGACATGTGTCTACCCGGTCGTCCTTTACTCCCTGGAGGCCACAGGCATCACCTACCACTCCCGCACCCTCCTCTCTCAGTTCGTCCACGCCCAGCTCCGCCTCATCCATAAATTACCGGGCCACATCACCAAAGTTACCTCCCACGACTTGCTCCTCAGAAGCCAACTCGACCCGCCAGGCGCCACCCTTGACCAACGGATCCAACGACATCTCCAACAAGACCCGGAGTTTCCAACTGAGGCGCAGGAAACCTGGTTCGATCTTCTGCAGGACTACTCGACGACGCCTGCTGTCTCTGCATCCGACCCTTCTGCCTCTATGCCCCCTTCTCGGGGAGGCTCTGCTCGTGCCCACCTCAAGCCCATCAGCAGTGTTCTCAGCTACCGGCCACTCAACTGCCCAATCTGCGGAGTTGGTTATAGCACCCTTCAGGCCGTCCGGCTCCACATGCGGAAGTCCCATCACGCTCAAGTGCGACAGGCACCTACCTCATCGGACTTGCGCCCACCTCCTGCTCAGGCTCCGGTCCCAGATCACGCCTCCTCTACTCCAGTCGTCATGATGGACCCAGATGCTACCACGGCCCCGGCCTCGCTACCTGACTTCGCGGCAGATGAACATGCTCTGTTCGTTTGGCAGCACGGTCGAGAAGGTCTACCACAATGCCGACACTGCCTCCGACAATGTGATTCGTGGCATAACTTACGCCTACACATCTCGACCAAATCCTGCCGAACTTTGGTCCCAGACGGCTTTAACGCCCTACCCCCAAAACACAATCTCAACCCGACTCCCCTGTACCACAGATCTGAATGTCAGCTCTACCTAGTCGGAAGTTGGGAAAGGCTCGCCTCTTGGCTGAAAAAGATGCTCCCTCAGGCAGTCCATCACTGCCCGTACTGTCACCAGTGGCTGACCCAAGCGCGTGGCCTCCGAGCTCATATTAAAGCTAAACATTCCCCAATGATCCCTTGCTGTGAGGAGGCCGTCCAACGTATGCAGTCTCATCGCAGGCTTTTGGCCCTTGGTAGCACCTGCCGCTACTGCAGCCTCTCCTTAACAGGAGCGCCTATCAAGCACGCCACTGAGTGTGCAGTCCTGTTCCTGGTTCACTTGCTACAGGCCACGCATGCGCAACATCACTCGAACCGCCTGCCTCAGGTCCGAGATGACTCTTCCCTCGATGTTCAATGCGCACCAGGTGAGCCCGGAAGACCTGGAGGAAGCCACTCAGGAGCTCAAGAGCATCGAAGCGCAGGTCCGGCTGATACCCAAGCAGCCTCAGCCCCTGATGGCCCCGACGACACTGATGAGCGAGCCCCCACCACAGGGAGAAATGCCGGACTCCTCGAATCCTCCATCGACGGATGTCCCCGACAGACCCTCCAAATGGCAGAGGGACAACAGCAAAGGAGCCACCCAACCAGGCAAGGGCAAGGGCTCAACAGGCCGCGGAGCCCAGGGCCAACAGAACCCTGCCAACCGGCCTCCACCTCAGGGAGGTCCGCCAAGGCGTCAAGGGGGGCGTCCATCCGGATACCACCCCCAACCCCCATGGCAGCGACAAGGACCGGGATACGGGCCTTCTTCAGGTCCCGACCTCACTCTCATGTGCCACACCATGGCCAGACTCCTCATGAGACACGAGGACGCTCTCTCAGTCCTACAGCAATCCACCACCTGGATCCTCTTCCTCACAACTCAGCCTCCGGGCACTGTCCTCCCCAAGCTGTTCGCCACAGCCCAGGGATGGCACGAGCTGCGGTGGAACGACCCGGAATCCGTCACCCATCCGATGCGCATCATTCTGTGGCAGAAGCTGATGCTCGAGCTGTCTCAGAGAGCCCAGAAAGTCATCGACCAGGAGGATGCTCGAGACCAGGCAATCCAAATGGAGCTCTACAACCCGACCACGGGGTTCGGCTACCGCAAATGGAACAACAAGGAGGGCGTGATGCAGCCCATTCCCGATCGCGAACCGCTCTCGGCGCAGAAAGTGGTGGAGATTGCAAAGGAGCTGGCGACGCTGAGTGTACAACCGCAGCTGCTCAACAGGTTCCATGCAACTCGTCAGCTAGAGGAGAAAATGGAAGGCAGCACAGTGACCTGGCTATTGGAAGTGGGCTGGAGGGGCGAGCAAACGGCTCGCTTCTGGGAGCTGCTCCAGCTCCTTTCACACAACTCCTCCCTCCTAATGATCGGCTGCACCCTTCGTCCGGATCGCCTCCAGAGATCAGCCTTGGCCCAACAGCTGCAGACCCTCCTCCAGTCCATGCACATCCCTATGCCGAGACAGCAGCCGAGACCTCAGCCCTGCTCCCGACATTGCAGCTCCGCAATCCTTCTAACTACTGTTACTCCCATGCCTGCCTTTTCACTTATCTTTGGCTTGTGTCCCAAACCCCCTCCTCCTTTCAGGTACTGGACAGGGAACCGCTGAAGAGCTTCATCGCCCAGGCACGCAAACAACAGCCAGTGACACTCTGGTCGCTCCTCCCGTGGAGGCAGGCAATGCGACGCTGGTCCAATCCAGCCAGGCAACATGATGCAGCGGACTTCCTCCTTCACCTACATCAAATCCTCAATGCGCCATGCTTCCAGGGCCTCTGGCAGTCCTTTGACGACAGCCACATGCTTCAGGATGAAGGCGGGGTCTGCCCACTCATACTTTCCGGTATGCAGGACGCCTCTAGCACAATTGCAGCCACTGCTCAGTCCTGCATCAATCGCTGGCATTCGCAGAAACGTCGCCACGCCCTGATTGCAGGCACTGAAGCTGTGGCTGTACAGCTCAACCGTTTTCGCAATGAACGGGGCATTGCATCCAAATGTGACCATCGCATAGATGCTGATCCAGAAGTCCTTTTCCCACAATGGACCCCTTCATCCCCTGAAGGTATCATTTGGAGAACATATCAGCTTCAGGCGATTGTCCAGCATATAGGACCGACCACGGTCAGTGGGCACTACCGTGCTGCACTCAAACCTCGTTCAGGCACAGCGAATGTGTGGCATCACACTGACGACAACAGTCCTGCGCAATCGGTCACTCCTGATGCCCTGTCCACCTCCAATTACATCCTTGTGTACCGAATGAGGAGTGCTGCAACCTCAGCATAGGCCCTTCGGGGCAGAGTAGTTACGTAGCTAGATGAGTCGATCCAACTGTGATCGAGCGCCACAGTGCGCCGGTTGACACCGCTCGAGTCTTCGCAATGCGACCTCACCGTCCGCAGCGAGTGTGATGATACAACTACAACTACTACTACTACTACTACTACTACTACTGCTACAACTATTACTACTGCTACTGCTATCGCTACTGCTACTACTACTACTGCTACTACTACTACGACTACTACTACTACTACTACTACTACTACTACTACTACTACTATTACTACTACTACTACTACTACTACTACTACTACTACTACTACTACTACTACTACTACTACTACTACTACTACTACTATACTACTACTCCTGCTGCTACTACTACTTCTGCTGCTACTACTACTACTACTACTACTACTACTACCTTCTACTACTTCGACTACTACAACTACTACAACTACTTTAACTACTACAACTACTTTAACTACTACAACAACTATTACTACTGCTACTGCTATCGCTACTGCTACTACTACTACTATACTACTACTGCTGCTACTACGACTACTACTATTACTACTGCGACAACATTTACTACTACGACGACTCTCGACTACCCTCCTACTGTACGACTCTTTGACTCTACTACTACTATTACTACTACAACTACTACTGCTACTACTACTACTACGACTACCACTACGACCACTGCTACTGCCACTGCCACTGCTACAGCTACTGCTACTGCTACTGCTACTGCTGCTGCTACTGCTACTGCTACCACCACCGCCACTACTACTACTCCTCCTCCGCCTCCTCCTACTCCTAGCGCTATACTGACTCTGTACCCTCAAGCCCGAAACACCCAGACCCTCAAATCGATGTTTGAGCACACTTGCGCAACATGGAGACCTTAAACTAGAGGCCTGCTGCAGCTCATCCAAAGTTGCAGCAAGCGTTTAACACGAGGGCCCTGCAACTCTCCATCCCTGACGCAGGCATCGCCTGCCGGCGCGGCGGTGACCAAGGCTGGCCGGCGGGATACTTCGGAGCGCAGGGTTTAGGGTACCATCCCTCAAGCAAGGCTGGGGCCGCAGGTTTAAGCATCAAATCAGGGTGATGAAAACTTTATTCAACGGAGTCTTTCCCGAGGTGATCTTCAATTGTTTGGGGCTCGCCAAAGCATTGCATCCTGCACTCTACCCCTTAAGCTCGAGCCCTATTTCAACCCAACAGGGAACCCTCAGCGTAGACCAAACACTAGAGAGGTCCTCGTTAGAGCCCTCTACGCTAGATCCGGAAACTCCGAGTTTTTGCACTCGACCTGGCCCCATGCAGGCTCCTGCGCCGAAGGCCGTCGTCGTGAAGGCATTCCTTGGGACATTCATTTTAGACGTGTTTTCGGGTTCAGGCACTTCGGGCCTAACTTAGGATTTGGCGGTTTATTGACTTTAGTATTTCGGGCTTAAGATCTATTTCCGCTCTCTGCCGCCATGTAAAACCCTAGCCAACGTCCACAGGTCTCCGGTTTGTGCTAAGCTGCTAAGCAGAGGCAGTCGTTTGGCCAGAGACCTTAACTAACCTCAATACTCGAACCTAAGCCCTGACCCACCTCATGAAGAGACCATCTGGCTCAGGCGCTGCCTGCAGGGACAGCCCCTGCAAAGGCGAGAGCAAAGGTTCCAGAGCTTAGGAGTGCGGTTTCGGGTTTTTCAGATCTAGGGCGTTGGATTTGGGTTGAAGGATTTACGACTGTAACAACCTTCAGTACACCTCAGTCCAAAGCAAAAGCGCCAACCGGAGAGCTCATCGCAGGTGCAAGGCCGTTGCAGTCCTGAGCCCGTAGTCCTATATGAACTCTACTACGCCCGACCAGACGAAGAACCGGTAAACCCTCAAAGCCCTGTAGGTAACTCTCAGCCCTAGACTAGACGTATCCCACAAACCCTAAAAGCCCATCTAAGCCTGCCACCTCAAAAGCCTCGTCCTGCTGCTCTCGAAGGGCTTCAGGCCCCCTTAAGAACAATAGCAGCAAGGGTGTAATAATAACTTGCAAGACAATAACAGTAGTAGCAATCATTTGCATACAATGGCACTAATGGCGATGACAGCAATATTAGTAACCATAACAGTTGTAATCATGAAAATAGACGTCGTTTACATTTACAAATAACAACAGCAATGAGTCTCATGGTAATAGTAGCAATAGTAAGTGTAACAGCAATTATAAGAAGGTCAACAACAATAGAAAAGAGTAGCAACAGCAATGATAAGGGTACTACTGCTATTGCTACTGCTTCTTCTAAACTACTCCTACCCCTACCCTTTCTCCTACAACAACAACTACTACTATTGCTACTACTACTACTACTACTACTACTACTACTACTGCTACTACTACTTCTACTCCTACTCCTACTCCTACTCCTACTCCTACTCCTACTACTACTACTACTTCTTCTTCTACTGCTTCCACTACAATTACTAGTACTACTACTACTACTACTCCTGCTGCTACTGCTACTACTTCTGCTACTACTACTACTACTACTAGTACTCCTCCTACTCCTCCTACTCCTACTCCTCCTCCTGATTCTCCTCCTCCTCCTACTACTACTACTGCTACTACTACTTCTTCTACTGCTACTACTTCTTCTACTGCTACTACTACCATTACTACTACTACTACTACTACTACTACTACTACTACTACTACTACTACTACTACTATACTACTACTACTACTACTCCTGCTGCTACTACTACTTCTGCTGCTACTACTACTACTACCACTACTACTACTACTACTACTACTACTACTACTACTACTACTACTACTACTCCTGCTGCTACTACTACTACTACTACTACTACTTCGACGACGACTACTACTACGACTAACTACGACTAACTTCGACTAACTACGACTAACTACGACCAACTACGACTAACTACGACGACTACTACCACATTGAGACGGCGGCGACGAAGACGACTATTAAGAATTCATGCAGTGAAGTTTATTCCTTGTTATAAAAACAACTAAGATCGTAACAGTAGTGCTAATAATCATGGTCATAGACATGGTCGTTATAGTCATACGAAGGAAAGCAATAGACATAAAAGAATACCGAAGGTAAAGCCAGACGATACAATGCTGGAAATAATCGTGAGAGTAGAGGCGCCGTGCTCCTGAATCCCGCCACTACTTCGAGGAACTCTTTTGGCCGTGGTGTTAAACGCTGCGAATTGCAGGAAATCTTGCGGGTGTCCGCCTGACTTCCGCCAGTGCTTGGCGGTCTGCCGGTGGTTAGTTTTCCATTTTTTTGTGGTCTAAATCCGTCTCCCTGCTGGTCTCTTGGTCTCATGGTGTTTCATGGTGATCTCCAGGCGGCCCTCGCGCGCCGCACGGCATCACTAACTATTTCGCTTTACTGCTAATGTAAGAACTTCATGGTGTGTACCACACTGTTTGCTGTGGTGATAAGAAAAACGCTTAATTTACAACAGCAACAGCAATACTACTGATAGCAGTAATGGTCCGGTAGTAAAAGGAAATTTAGTACAGTACTAACTAATGATTAGAAAGTAATCGCAGCAGTAACAGCAATCGTACTAGTAGCAGAAATAGGAGTAGCAATAGTAATCGTAATAGCAACAGACGGTAGTAGAAACAGTAACGAACTTTTAGCATTTCATAAAAAACATCAGTACAAGGAGTAATGATAAAGACTCAAATAATTTTCTAGCTAGGTCTTTGGGCCATTCTACATTTTCCCTATCCGGGCGTTTATAAGAGGATCTCATTTGCGACGATTTTTCAAGGGCCTTAAAGGGCCAACCTTAATTATAAGAACGACACCTAGAAATTTGAACAAAAACAAACTGGATAGGCGGCGACCTCGAAGGCCGCCGTCGTCAAGGTGGGATTCGACGAAGAATCGGGCCTCTGCGGCTTGCGGGGTCTTAGGGCTCCTTAGGCTATGGACTTCTTTGGGTTCTTTGGGAGTGGGGTCTTAGTTTGAGGCGGGGGGATTTTTGAGGGAAGCTTTGAGCTTCAGGGTCAGGATCTTTGTGCGCTCGGGAGGGGCTGCCCCGAGCAGCTGCGAGGAACCTGCTGAGTCGCTCAGTGGTTCAGGGCTTTGGCACTTTGGGGTTTCCCAGCGCCTTTCGGGCTTGGACTTTCGGGTTCGGGCCAAGGTGTACCAACACGATTTGAGCTTCCAAGCTGGCTGGAGAGGTTATCTCCCCAAATCTGGAAAACTAATCCTGAAACGCCTTGACTGTAGACATCTTGCAAAAAAAGACACCGACGAATCGCCATTGTTCTGCCTCAGGCAATGCCTAAGGCGCCAGCTGAGGGTAAGGCGGGCAAGTGTTCAATTATGGCATAATGATATCAGCTTATTTGCTTGGGGCTGTGAATCTGAATAAGTTCTGAAAAAAGCATGCTGCGAGAGGATCCTGCAACAAGACGTTATCCTTTGTGCAAGGGTCGTAAGGTTTCAGAACCGAAACAGGTTTCAACTTTTCTTCGCAAGGCTTCACATGTCGGCTTCAGCGGTTTGACACTTGGATTGCCGCTACTCTGGCACCTTCCCGATGCTACATCGTAAAGCACCACTCCAGTGCTACTCCCAAGCCTCGACGCACTCCTCAGAAAGTCTTAGAGTCTTGGAGATTTTTACTGTCCCGTATTATCTTGCGCGGCCTCAAGAGCTTGGCGAAATGCGTGGCATCCGACAGGCCGTGGCTACTCCGGCACAGGCCCAGGCAGCGGAGCCCCAGGCCGGAAAGTAGGGCCCGTGGAAAAAGTCTACGGTTCCTGGGTTCAGAATGTAGGATGGACAGAAACGGCTCCAGGCGCCATTGAGGCCTCTACAGGTCTTTGCGTGAAGCTTATGGGATCGAGACCTCGGATTGCCGTAGTGGTATCACAAGGACCCAGAAATTGTGAAACTCATAGCCTAGTATAGGGGTGCGAACAAAGGGCAGTGATAAACCGTTAGATGCACTAGACTCGAAAAGTCCGAAGGCTTGCCGTTGCGGTGCGGGGGATTAGGGGGGTCGTGGTTGGTCAGGGTGTATGCTCGAACTCGAGGAAATTTGAGGGTTTTCGGTTGTTCAGCAGCACATGAGATGCCTTCGACCAGGCTGTTGCGGCCAAGGGCAAGGTGCGTCCATGAACTGTCGTCAATTGCTTGTGGGAGTTATAAGGTCTGGAGAAGGTCACAAGGGCTGTGGACTCTAAGAACGATTTGAGCAATCTTCGCGCTTTTCAACTCCAAACAGGAATGACAAAGATTGTAGCCGTAAGACCCTAAAGCCCTTCACCCAAAAGCCGAATGCCTTGAGCTGTAAAGCCTTGGGCCTTCAACCCAAAGGAAGCCAAGGCAAAAGAGACCACCACGATCGAAGCCGCAGATATAGGTGATTTCACAAGACTCCTTACCGTAGGCATCCTTAGAATCAGCTCCCACTTGTGAAGTCGTATAAGGTGGGATACACGACAGTGTCAGGCACCAATGCCTCAAGCATACTGGGCCAGCGTTGCATTGATTTTCTGATTTGAGAGAATTGGGCTTTGAAGCATAGCTCATATGACTCATTGCAGCCTGGCCAAGGCCAGAGTATACTGCCTGAGAGGAGAAGAAGAGCTACGTGAATCCTAAGCTCAGCGGCAGCTTGTCATGTTACCACAGGGCTCTTCTGAAGAAAGGTCCCTTCAAGTTTCAAGTCCCTAATCTGAACATGACCAACTTCCACAGAAGCAAGTTCAACCTCCAAAAACCTGGAAATCCGTCCGGACCTAAGCCCCGAAAGCCGTGGCATCGTCTTTTCAGGCTTCTCCGGCCAAAGCCAAGGCAGACTCACAGGCAGCGCTGTTGTCGGATTTTCCTCGCTGCTTTCTCTGCGCTTCCGGCTTAGGGTTCTTGTTTACAGTGCTGGCTTGGGCTTATGTGCCCCTTGCGTGGTGCAAGAGGTCCTGGAAGCAGTGCAAGAGAGGCGCTCAAGGCTTGAGTAAGGCTAGAAGTAGTGGTTAGGCACCCGTGCCGGAGCTCAGCACTTCGGATGGGAGCGGGACTCAGGAAGGCAACCCTTTCAAGCGGGCCTTGCATTCATGGCGGTCTCCGACTGGCGTGCCCCGCTCGACAATCGAACAGCCTCAAGCCGGTTTGGTCCTTCGATTGAACCTCGTCGATGTTTTTGGAGGCCCTGGCCGGAGTTTGCCCAGAATCCCAAATCGCGTCTCCCAAAGCTTATGTCCCTGACCCTATACATCCCGAAGCCTCTTTTTTTGGGTAGTTGTCAAAATTATGGTCCGTTTTTGGGTACTCTATATTGCAGGTGCCGCAGTATAATACGGTAGGTACCCCAAAAGGGACCATAAATTTGACTACCACCCATATGACTCATAACCCCATAACCCCGAACCTCGCCCTGCAGGCCTCTGCAAAGACCAAGGCCGGAAAGCCGTCTCAGGCGCAGGCGCCTTGGAAGCAGTTTAGGGTTTAGGGTTTAGGGTTTAGGGTGTTGGGTTTCTTGGGCTTTGGGCCAAAGTTGGGAGAAGGTTTAGGGCTTGCAGTCTACTTGTCTCGACCTCAGGGTTTTAGGAAGGGGTCTTGCTGAAGCCAGAACAGAAACCTCAGACTGTAAACGGCTTCCCACTTATCTTTGCAGCTTTGCCTTTGGTACTTGCTTCGGTACTTTCAAAGGCTCAGGGCCTCTGAGGGTTTCGTGAGGGCTTTTATGGCCAAGAAGGGCTCAGGGCCATGCTGGTGGCGATAGATGGTCTTCTCGAGGTTTTCAGATCTTGTAGCCCGGAGCCCCTACCAGGTCCTGAGACTCGGTTAGAGGATCAGAAGCCTGTTGTGGAGGAAGCCAGGGGATGTGTTGAAGTGTTCGTATCAGGAAAACAATTCAAGGAAAGGGTCTTGATTCTCTGAACCTCGAAGCGACTGGATCCGTTTGTTGGACTTGGCGGCAGGAGCTCAGAGCGAAACTGGCGGCTTTGAAAGCAAAGGCCGCCGATGTTCCGGAAGGATTGGAATCGAGGGACTTGTGCTGTTTAGGACCCGCCCGTTTATGCTGACGGTTGTTATTTTAGTTGCAGGTACAGTCAAGTTCTAGTTTGGCAGAAGACGACGGCAGAGCAAGCTCTATGAGGGTCAAACACATTGAGGTTTGGAGACGATGCTGGGCTCCGGGCTTGCTTGGGATGTTCAAAATATTGCAACCATGCAGGGGCCCCTTGCATTGTGGAGCCAAGGCCAAGAGACCCCCAACCAATTGCACCCAGCGCCGATGACAGGGCAAGAATTCAATAGCTTCCGGACCCTCGAGAGAAGGGCTGAATCCCGGAATGAGGAAAGTCCATTCGAGGGATACGTCGAAATTCTTTCTGCTGCCTCCCGCAATCGCTACCTTCCATCATCTCTACATTTTGTGGTGCTTAAGTCTGCGGGAAGTGTATTGAGCTAAGACACAGAAAGTAAGCCTCGAAGCGGAGTTTGATAGCTGAGATGTAGAATGGGAAGTTCAAGATGTTCAAGCAGCTACGGTCCCTGACTGTGCACAGAGATCATCTCGGAAGATTTGTACTTCTAAACTTTAAACCCTCAACTGGGACATATCGTCCCGCGTTGCCCGTCGGTTGAAGGCTGCTAAGTTAGAGCAGATCGCGATCCTCCGCCTATGCCCGAGTGCTGCAGGGACTGAGAGTTCAAGGTTGGTTTGCTGCTGTCCGGCTATGAGCCGTGCTCCCTTCTCCTTCAGTCTGGCTTCTGCCACTCGACACGGCTGTAAGACCCCACCAAAAACTGCGTTCGCAAAGCCCGAGGTATGTCATAACTTGCAGCAAGTTCAACGACGGGATCGTTGGCCCGAGATAACTTCGGAGGCTCCAAAACCCCAAATCCAAGGTCGATACAGTATCAACCTTGAAGGTTTGGTGGCACACACCAAAAACTGCGTGCACTCACTCTGAGGCGAAGAGAAGGCGCGTCTGGCCCAAACTCAGAAAGAGCCAACTACTCAGATGAAATGAGGGACCCTATTCCTATTCTGGACCCCACACCCTGAGTAGTAGGATCGTTGTCAGAGAGCCCAGCTATCAATGTAAACCCTCATTAGTTGAACCTTGTAGGATCCTTATTACACGGACGCCTGAATACAATCCTCTTGAGTTCAGAGAAAGCCAATGTCCGGAATGGCCATCTGTTCTTGTCAGTTAAACCCAAGACCTTGTTAACGTTTTACTCGTGATTCTTGTGGTGCGTCGATTGTTTTAGCTGAAGCATTGGGGATTCTTGGAGTTCTGAGATGGTTTGGGATCTCGCCGGCTTTCCCTGTCGGGCCTGGTCTGCTCGGGAATCTCCGTTAGCTGTTGAGGATTTGTGTCAGGTATGCACGTAGCCAGAGTGCAGGTCTCGTTTGGTGATAAACTCCAAAGGATCGCAGGGGCCGTGGCATTTTGGGGTTGCGGCGCCCATGTCATCCACGCAGGTTTCGGGATCCAGGCTGCCAGCATTGCAGGAGTCTCACCATCCAGATCTTCCTGAGCTTCAAAGCCTTAGAGCCTTCATCTTGAGCCCCCTTCAAGTCCTGCCCTGAACCCATGGAGTCCCCAAGTTCTTCCAAGTAAGCGGTCTGGCTGGGGCTGAGCCATGCAAGGTTGGAGGCGAAAACGGCCGCCCTGGTCGCGGACTTCACGCCGAGGTGCTGCGGCAGCTCTTATTCCTTAAGCTCTAATACACAATATCCTACACTGCCAGAAGACTCCAGATTTCCAGCGCATCTATCCAAACCCTCGCAATTTGCACACAGTGGCTGCTGCAGGTCCTTGAAGGGAATCTGTATCATGTTAGCTTGTTGGAGGGGCTTCAGCGGCACTCGGGGGAGATTTAAGCAAGTTCAGGTACGTGTGAGATGATACCTCTTTCGGTTTGTTCCTTGAGACCTTTGGGTTTCCAATTAGCTTGGTTCTTTTTCTCACTCCACAGTGGGAGCTCGTTTTCGTTTCCACATGGGTTTGGGTGTGTGTGTGTGGTTCGTGGGCTGAAGGGGGCAAGGAATGAATGATCCAGAGCCCGGAGCTCGCTTACTGCGGCAAGGAAAGTGCCAAAAGCACCCAAAGCCGCCGCAAAGGCCGGGCACTGGCTTCTTGAACCCTGAGCTTGCATAGACCTTCGGATATAGTAGCCTTAAAGCCCAAGCAAGCACGTCTCTCGAAGGAAGGCTGGGCTTCGGTACGGGTAGCAGTGACCTGGTGGCCCCGACGTCTGTGTCCGTGTCCCAATGTAATTAGGGGTTCAAATTCTGATCAATCAAGCTCCATGTTGGTGGAATGTTGGGAGCATCCTGCGTCATCACGAAAGCAAGCCCCGTGAGCCGGCTAGCGTTTAGGGTTCTTGTTCAGGTTTACGACTTGATCTCAGGTTGAGAGGATTGGCAAGCATGTTTCTGCAAGCATGTATGCATGCATGCTTGTATGTACGGATGTCTGTATTTATGCATGTATGTATGCATGTACGTATGTGTGTAGGTAGGCTTGTGTGTGTGTACTACTGCAGTGTAATTTAATGTTGTGCTATGGATGGATGGATGGATGGATGGACGGACGGACGGACGGATGGATGGATGGATGGATATATGGACGGAGGGATGGATGGCTGGATGGATGCAATTGTGTGTGTGTGTGTGTGTGCAAATAAATAAATAAATAAATAAATAAATAAATAAATAAATAAATAAATAAATATAAATAAAAAACAATAAACACACACACACATATATATATATATATATGTAGTATATATATGTATGCACGTTTACACACATGCACATGTACAAAGACATGTGCATATATACACATATGCATATACTTTCACATACATACGTACGTACGTGCATACATGTATGTATATGTATATATATATACATATATATATATATGCACTTTCGGCGTGCAGCTATGCACATACGTATCCGTACACACAGCAGACAGGTTCACGGCTACATAGATACCTTCATGAGACCTGCAAGATCCGGACTCGCTGAGTCGCCAACACTTGAAGGCGGAGGCAGCGGCCCCTGTGAAAGCCGCCCCACAGGCCGCGCCCGATCTTTCCTCAACATCGGAGTATGCGTCATACTGGGGTTGCCCTTGTAGGCTGGGGTTTAAGGTGTCGGAGTTCTCGGCCTTTGAGTGTGTGTGGTGTAAGTTCAGAGCTTTGCCTGGAGGAGGCTGCGATATCCGTAACAGGCAAGGGATCTGACTTGGTTGGAGGTTGAATACGTGCAGTTCCGTTTCCGAATTGTGAGTAGTACCTCCCTCTTTGTCAAAGGGCAGCGGGTGTTTGGGCTTGGTGTGCGAGGTGTGTTCAGATTTCCCTGTGAGACATGGAACGGCTTCGGCCTCCCCAGAGCTTCCGACTATCATAAACCTACAAACCTCAACCCGGGACTGTCAAGCTTGACATCATGAGTGGATGCCATGATGTGCCTAGGCAGGTTTGAGTACAAAAAGCATAAATAAGGATGCTGGTTACACGCTGAGAGTGCGGGGTGAGCTCACCACCGTGGACTCTAAGGCTAAGGAGTGGACGATTCCCTTGATGTTGATGCGAAGGAGGTCCAGACTCGCGGGTAGTTGTGGGCAGTGCACCGCTCCAAAATCTCCCGACCCACGAGCTCACCAACATGCATTTGTCGGCCTCACAGGCGCCTGCCGCCCCTGCTCCCCAGGCTGCGCCTTCGTTTGCGGGCAGAGCACGATAAAGGAGATCCATTCACGGGCCTGGGGTTTGGACTACCAGTAGCAGCGATTTCAGTCTGCTTAGAACTGCTACACTTCTGCTCTACTGTGCCACTGCAGAAGAACTCTTCGAACCCGTACGTCCCAGGGATGCAAGCGAAAAAGGTCCGAAGCGTGGGTGATGTTCCTTGACTCATGATGAAGTTGCAGGAAAGGAGCCTCGTGAGTGCAGACGCCAAGCTTTAGTCCTAAGAGAAGTTTTTTGTCCCGAGATACCGTGTGTAGTTCTGCCATGTTCTGCCAAACAGACTCAATCCTTCAAATCACACAACGTACAGTGCAAGCACTGCAGTTCACTACACCTCCCTTCCAAAGACCGAAGGCCCCTGAACCTAAACCCTGAACCCCAGAACTGGAACCCTATTCAGGCCCTGTGCCAAATCCTCAACCCTGCAAAGTTTGGATTTGAGTTCAAGACGTACTTCCAGGCCGCGACGGCCCCGCCGGTGAAGGCCATTCCGAAGGCGCCCACGCTCGGTGGCTGGGATGTTCGTGAGGGGCCCGCCTCGGTGATTGATGTCGTGTGGAGCTCAATTACGGCTTTGACCCGGAGAGTGCTGAGAACCCAGGCCGGTCTACGAACTAGGGACCCAAGGAGGCAGACTCTCCTTGAGCCAGTGAACATACATAAGGAAATGCGAGTCCGTGAACTTAGCGACCAATGTCCTGGTAAGAAGTAACTAAGTAATGGGCTATGTGCTTGCAACCGAACCGTCTCGAAGTGTGCCCGATGCGTGAATTCCCCTAGCCCTCCCTATCCGACCTATCTCCAAGATTCACTGAGTAAGGGTCCCCGTCTCAAGGACCCCCCAGTACCCTTCAGCTGCGGAGTTTCGGGTCTTGGGGGATCCGAGCGGGAAGTGCAGTCCCGGTCCTTTGGAAATCCTTCTTAACCGCCGGAAGCAGAACGTGTAAGACCGAAATCTCAGCAAACCCTGAACCCCCCAAAGGCCCCAAAGCTTATCCTGCGTTGCAAGCAGTAAACTGCTGACATTGCAGGAGCTGCGGCAGGCCCAGGTGCCCGAAGACTCTTTGTGTTCGGCTCGAGGGTTCATGCTGCGGCTGGCGTTTCCGGCCAGGGATTCCTGCTATTTGTTGCACCGACCAAAGAGTTAATAAGTATTGCCCCCCGGCCATGGATTTTCGCTTTCAGCTTCCTTCTGGGCTAGCTTTGTGAGTCGGTGAATACAGCTTCGGTGCTTCAGCTTAAGAGCAGCTTGTCGTCTGGCTCTGGGTCTGGGAGGCTAGGATTTCCGAGCTTCGGGGTATAGTCAGGGTCGCCACTTACAGCCAAGTATATCTTTTGGATTTGGGGCCGTGCTGCTCGGTCGTTCGGATCTGAATTGCGAGAGCAGTCGTCAGGACCGAACGTCAGGGGCGAGGTCGTAATTGAGCACCCCCCATGACACCCCGGACTCGCGACTCCACTCCTGAAATGTTGGCTCCTGAAAGGTTTTCAACCTATACAGCGAATGAGGATTCTCATGTTATTGCCGCTGAGTAGCAGTATGTTTGTGCGTATGATGTATTTGCCTGACTACCCACTTACCTACCTAGCTACCTACCTAGCTGTTGGTACACTTGTTCTTATGTATAACCGTATGTATGTATGGAGGGAGGGAGGGGGGGAGGGAGCCTTACTCTTGTTGGAGGCAGCACAAATCTCATATTTCCAAAGCTCTTGGACAGTCTCAGCGGAACGGTGAATGACGAGGCACTGCCAGCAACTCAAGGCAAACATGAGCACGGGACCGTGGCAAGAACACGGTTTCCGTGCAACAACACACCAAAGTACCCACGACACTGCGCCGGGAGTGATTCATCAAGTTCGCAAGCCCCAAGTAGCAAACGAGTTTGCCGTACCGGGTGGATGGCATGTGAGCGCGACTGTGGAAAGAACTCGGATTTATTTGTTCAATCTGTCAGCCGTGCCACAGCAGCAGCGGCGGAACCGCCGCTCTACTCTGGACACAAGAACCACAGTGTTTTAGCTCACTGTTTCTGAAATTGGATAGTGTATGTTGCTGGATCAAGGAATCCCCCAGACTGGAAAGAGAACGCATGCAAGCCTTCCTCTCGATGCTTCGACCCATGTGTTGGGCTTCAGAGCTTCAGAAGAGTCATATAGGAACTCCAGGTCAAGACTGATAACCGCGAGCCAATGAAACCAACACCCCAGACTCGAAACGCTACCTGCTAACCCTCCCCCCAAGCCCTCAAGCGTAGGCGCTGTCGGAACCGCCGGCACCCATTGCCGAGGCGCCGTAGATACAGCGTTTCTGGGCCTTGTAGGGCCGACCTTCCGGAGCCTTAGTTTTTGTAGGGTTTAGGCGGCTCTGGGTTTGGGATTGAGAGGGTGTGAACTCCAAGTCAGACTCTGAACGGCTGAGGGACTGGAGACCTGAGCGACAAAGTGTCGGCAGGGCTCCACGTCCGGGCTTAGACCGAATGGCAGCTTCTGCACAGTCTCTTGAAGTCTTGTCGCCTCAACATGCAGCTTTGACCCATCCAAAGCCCCATAAGCCAACAAAAACACGTCATCAGAGTAAGCCTGAACTTTCTCCCAATGCTCATTGCGGTCTGCACTTTCAAGCGAAGAATCTGCAAGCCCTCCAACGAAGGCCCCGAAAGCAAAGTGGCCTGACAAGTGTGCCTTCCCCTAATCCCACACCATGAACCTTCCACCCTCTTTCCAGGCGCCTGCCGAGGCAGAGGAAGAGGCGCGCCGGCTTGCAATTTTGCGGACTTGGGTCCGGAGTCTGAGGAGACTTACATCAAGCCACGAGCCCGAATGGCTCACGGTTTGTTAGGGAAACCCCAGCGCACCTTAAGCCTGTGAGCCCTTCACTCTGTCAATTTGGCAAATCTAGGCGTTGGGATCCGGCCCGAAAGGCAATCAGCAGGGAGATCCTCCTCCTCAGTGAAGGAAGAATCCTAGAATGCCCGCACAGCGGGCTTGAGCAGGTGTTGCCTCTGCTGTTTTGCATGTGTGGGGCTTTGTAGTGTAAACACAGTTTGTAAACCTAAGCACCAACGCGGCGTTTACCGGCCCCAGCTCCATCTGGCAGGATATTGCGGAGAGCACCGACCCCCCCCCCCCGCCCCACAAACTAAAGTAAAACAATACCAGCACGTCTTCCAGGACATCGACGATGCAGATCTCATGGCTTCGCAGCTGCAAACAGGAGTGCTCATCCTTGGCCGCAATGCACAGGAGATGAAATTCGGTGTCAGGTCGTGGCGGTTCACGGTTCACGCCAAGCCATGGGGGCATGGTGTCATGTTGTGATGTGCTCCGCCATGCCTTGGTCCCTTCATGTTTCTTACACATTATGTCCGTTATGTTGTTTGGAGTGCGCGTACATGCATGGATGCGCGGATGGATATGTCTCTGTCTGTCTGTGTGTGTGTGTGTGGGGACCCCAAACTACAACGGGACACAAAGTGCGTTGAGGTCAGAGTGTACAACTGATTTTCATGCAGGGGGTGCCGGGGGCACTGGTGAGACCGGCACTAACAAAGACGCTCATCAGTTGCCTGTGAAGCAGTGGAGGACGCTCCACTGTGTACCTGCTAATTATTTGTGACATCGTCCATAGTGCAAGCTGTGCAATGGTTCTGCAATGACATCGTCGCTGTACATTGGTGATTCCGAGTGCGATTCTGAGTGCGAGTTCAGGCCAAAGGTTCAAGGTGCATCTTGGCTGATTTTCTATTAAACAGCAACAGGGGAACCCAAGCCTACTGAAGACATCTGGCAAAACTTTCTTTTTGAAGTGCCTCATCTGAGTTCTGAACTCAGTGATGAGTGATTATGACCACTGAACAACAATCTACCAGGGAAGCCTGGGTGTTCGAGTGTGTGTGTGTGTGTGTGTGTGTGTGTGTGTGTGCGGGTGCGGGTGCGGGTGCGGGTGCGGGTGCGGGTGCGGGTGCGGGTGCGGGTGCGGGTGCGGGTGCGGGTGCGGGTGCGGGTGCGGGTGCGGGTGCGGGTGCGGGTGGGTGTGCGTGTGGGTGTGGGTGTGGGTGTGGGTGTGGGTGTGGGTGTGGGTGTGGGTGTGGGTGTGTGTGTGTGTGTGTGTGTGTGTGTTTGTGTCTGCGTGTGCTTGTGTGTCTACGTGCGCTTGTGCGTGTGTGGGGAGATATGTATGCAACTATTATTACATGCGTGTGCGTGTAAGCACATGTGTGCACATGTGTGCGTGCATGGGTGTACGTAGTTAAACAGCTTTAGGCATATGAGGCAGGCAGAGACGCAGATACTCCGATGAATGCCAGTGATCATACACGCACACAATCACTCACACACTTGTGTTCTGGATATTCTGACATCCATCATCCGGACAGCGATCACTTCGGACAAAGAGCTGCACGGATTGGGGGCTTCTAGCCGGGGTTTTGAGGGCATTGACATGAGTTAACATCAGTGAGGGCACAGCTACTGGCTACGAAGCGCGACAGATAGGTCGCATCTTGGAGTTTGGCTTCAGGTTCTCTCCGCAGAAACCGAAGCCTGAACTCCGAAGCGCCTGGGTCCTCGACCCCAAATCCCACTGAAGTCTCCAGCCGTTCGAGGCTGGCCTTCGGGGCGCCTTCGGATCTGGGGAGGCTGTCGCGATTTTTTTGTTTTTTTTTGGGGGGTGGGGGGGTGCCATGGATGCTTTAGATACTCAGCCATACAGTCCTGACATTGGTGTTCCAAACACCCCTCATCCCGAAAGACCCAGTTCAGACCCGAATCCCTGAACTCTGTTTCGCTACTAGCCCTAAACCCTTTAAGCACAAAGGCCCTCCTCAAAAGAAACTCAGAAGCCAGTTTTCGGCTTTGTCATGAACGGGTGGGGAGTTTAGATAATGTTCTTCGCTTCCACAGGGCATGGGTTGATTTCGAGAAGGGTCTGCAGCACCGAACTGCAAGTTCCGCAAAACAGAACTGACATCTTGGGGTTGTGCAGGCGAGATCGCCGCGTGTTATCGAGCATGTTCCGTAGCGGAAGACGTCACTTCAGACTTACAGCGGAGGGCTTAAGTTGTCAAGGTCGCCTCAGGCGCATCCCATCGCGAACAGCCGTAACCTGCCAGATTAATGCCGGCTTAGCTCCGAAGCTCTTTAAATCTGCCATGACTAGTGCACCAACTGCAGTCGTCTCGTTCGATGCGCCATGATAGGTACACGCGAAACCTCGATAACCGTCGGGTCCACTAAGGCGAACAAAAGTGAGTGCGACCCAGTGCGCATGATCCCTCTTTCGGACGTGCTTGTGCCCTTGGGGAGGCGCCAGCTGCTGATGGCGAATGCCTGGAGGAAGAGGCCATGGGAGTCTGGAGTGTAAATCCCGCGAGCCGAGCAGCACGTAGATAGGCAGACCGGTTGGGAAGAGGCCATGAGAGTCTGGGGCAGGTTTGCGATTCAATTCCGGGCTGTAAATCCCGCGAGCCGAGCAGCACGTAGATAGGCATGCCGGTTGGCAATGAGTCGCTGGAGTCCGTTTTAGTCTCTTGTAGGGGTGGTCGTCGCCAGACGCTGTTGTTGCTGGAATGGATATTTCATCATTCCCGGCTTTTGGACGCACCAAGGCTCTTGTAAGGTGAGTCAGTCTAGACCCTCAACCCTCGTCCTGTAGGCCTGACAGCCCCAAATCCCAGACCCCGAATTTCACTCCAACACCCCAAGTTCCTTACGATTGAAACACTCTGACGTTACGCCAGGAGTATGAGGAAGAGGAGGAGGAGTGCCTTGCTAGCAGATGTCCACTGGGGGCAACGGGTTGACAAGCGCATTGACTGACTTAGACTTTCGCATAGTTCGTTGCGGTTTTGTGCTAGGCGCGCAGGTTCGCCACGAAAAAATCGCAGGAGAATTCCTGGTTTATCAAATAAATCTGCAGCCACGGCATTGCAGTCTTCATAGAATTTGAAGCTATTATAAAAAGTCATATTATACATATATGTATATATACGCACACATAAATATTCATATACATATACATATTGCTTTACATATACGTATGCATATACATATAGATAAGTATATGTGTGTGTATATATATATATATATATATATGTTTGCAAGTGCGTGTGTGCATTGGCTGTTTGTCTGTCTGCGCCGTCGCACGTTTGTCGTAGCGGTCGCAGTGCCGACGGTGCATGCAGTGCATGCTCACGTCCTGCCACACAGCAAAAGCTGAACCGCAGCCAAACGATTTGGATTCCTTGCGCGATCGCCAAACGGCAGCCGGCGTCTAAGGCCAGCGCTACGGTTCGGTTGGCGAGAACAGGATGGTTCAAGTCATTTCACAAGTCTTTCTGGAATGCAGATGCCCGTCACCTACAGTGCTCCCAACTCTGGGTATCTGAGATATTCCTGATTACTCATGATTATTCCTGAGCCCGCATGGCTTTAAGATTTAGTTCCCTTTGCATATCAAAAATCTCATGATATTTTGCTAAAGACTCAAGCTTTTCGTCGCATCGACTTGTGAATTTTTTTGCACCCTCAAACCCAGCTGGGTGAAAACGCATCGCAGACAAGGTACGATCCTTTCGCTGCTTCAGGTGCAGCCGCATAGTGACGTGGGTGCCAGGCGGGGTGGCGAGCTCCTCTTACGTTCGAAGGTTGTCTTGTCTGCTTGTTTGTATGCTTAAAAAAGTCGTTCTCTTGGTTGTTGCTGCTGTTGGTGATGCATAGCTTTTGGCTTTGTTTATCAGATTGTACCGCTTGTACAGCCATGTCTTGAGATTGTTAGTGCTGCTACTGCTGTCCTCACCACCACCACCACCACCACCACCACCACCACCACCACCACCACCACCACCACCACCACCACCACCACCACCACCACCACCACCACCACCACCACCACCACCACCACCACCACCACCACCACCACCACCACCACCACCACCACCACCACCACCACCACCACCACCACCACCACCACCACCACCACCACCACCACCACCACCACCACCACCACCACCACCACCACCACCACCACCACCATTACCGCGATCATCACTACCACCCTCACACTACCGTAGAGAAACAGGGCCATGAATCAGAACAGGAACCATGCCCGCGTTGGAAACCGCGCTGCGGAAACCAGGGCGCATCGGAAACCGGCGTGCATCGGAAACTGGAGTTTGGATACCCGCGCGGCAGAAACTGGAGCTTGGGAACCAGGGTGGGGGGCGGTGGATTGGTTATCATGTCTTCTGGTTTCCGAATGATGTGTCTGGTTTCCGAAGCAGCCGAATCACTCGGTCTGGTTTTCGAATCGGCCGTTTTGAGTGCCGAATCATGGTTGGTTTCCGATTCAGCCGTTCTGACCACCGATTCAGTCGTTCTGGTTACCGATTCAGACGTTCTGGTTACCGATTGTTGCTGCCGCTATTGCTGGTGCTGGTGCTGCTGCTGCTATTTCCATAAATACCAAAAGTGCTACGACTATACGACTGTGCGGCACTGTGACCACGATTACCACCACCACCACCACCACCGCCACCACCACCGCCGCCGCCGCCACCGCCACCGCCACCGCCACCACCACCACCACCACCACCACCACCACCACCACCACCACCACCACCACCACCACCACCACCACCACCACCACCACCACCACCACTCCAAATTTACAAAACTACAAACAACTGCTACTGCTGCTTGTGCCTACTGCTCCTGCTGTTTCCGCGAGTTGTTCTGCGTATTCTACTCCTATGCTCGGAGTTGTGCGAAGACACGTCTTACTGAGGCAGCCCCATTGTTCTCGAAGTACCGCGCATAGACCAAAGCAGCGATGATTCTGCTGCTTTTAATTTTTGGTTCTCCCCGCTTTGGCATCAGGCTGTTAGTGTTGCATGGGTGGGCACATAGTTTTGCAGCCAGTGGACTCGTCGTATCACCTGCTTGTCGGGCTTTGAATTTCAAGCATCCAGGCCAGATCAGAATCGGTACCCTCAGGACAAGTCACGGCTCTCATGCAGACGGGCTTACAAGTCCGCTGAGACCCGAACCTTCAGAAACCTCTCGCGTGCAGGCTGCACAGCGCTGTGGGCGCGAATTGGGGAATCAGCAGTTGCAACTGTGAAAGGCCCTGGCTTTCAAGTATGACCATTGCGAGCCGCAGTTTCATCCATTTAAGTCTCGCGAGTTCTTCGTGCAAGGTCTTCACGCGTTACATTGCATTTTGGGCAAGCAGCCCAGGGCATTTTGCAAGGTGCACGCGCTTGGGCACACTGGCTTGCAGGACAGTTTCCCTGGCAAGGCTCCGCAAAGGTCTGTGGCTGCTGAATTAGGCTTCCGGGATCTACAGAAACTAGTTGACAAGAGTCTTCTCGAAAGCAAGCAGCAATCCTTTGCAAGGCGGCGAATCTCTGTCATGCCAGAGACCCGAAACATCGTTCTACCATGTGATGCCATACAAAGGCACCGGTTTGGCTCTGATGGACCCAAACCGAACCTTCGAACCCTACCCGGCATCCGAGGCCCCAAACTTCGTTGTAGAAGTTCGAGTTATGGGGCTCCTTGACCTGCGTGGTCTGGGAGTTTGCTGTAGATCGAGTTCCAACTCCGCGACACCATACTAGACCGTGAACCCAAAATGCGATCTTGCGGGCTGTTGCTGGCACCCCTCCTGCAAGCCTAGAGTTATGCTGTCTCTGGACAAAAGCGTCAAGCTGCCGAGAGTGGTGCGGGATTGCAGGGGTCTTTCCTAAGAAGGCCGCGCTCGCATTTTCACATCTCGCACTTCCTAGCAAAGTACGATTCTTCTTATCTTCGCCTACATCTCGAAAGATTAATCACAATGTTTGTGGTTGTGCCATAATTCTGCATGCGACTTCTATCGCAACCTATTTGCTGGTATACTCCCTGCTCAACAGCAGTGGCAGTAGCAGCAGCAGCAGCAATAATCATAGCCATGGTTCAGTCGATGGTGCAATGGTACAGTAGCAGCGGTAGCAACAAGAGCAGCTGCATGACGTTGTGGTACTTGTCGACATCTGAGGGTTAAACATGCACAAGCTCACATCTTATTGACCGTAGAACCCTGAAGTTTGAAGACAGA